TGCAGGAACCCAATTCCACACATGTGCGAGGCTATTCTAGAAGGACATGTTTTCGAGATTCCATCCAAACCTTGAAAACTGTGTGCGAAAACCATTCGTCCCTCATAAAAAATGGCATGCACAACATGACACAAAAAGAACATAACGCGTGTGTTGCAAGAGCGATGACTTCGGAAAGACATTCAGATGTTTCAACCCACAAACATTGGAGTTGGAGAGAGGCAAGGCCACAGTACAATTTGGTTGGGAAGTTATAGTCATTTACGAGATCTTCATCGAAGCGCTGTCTCTCTCTTGCGCTCCGTTTTCCTTTCACATATCTGAGGCACCGCGTACAGGAAATAACTGTGGTTTAGCCGTAATAACTGGGTATGCGTTGCGAAGCCATGAAGCCTCCAAGGCAGGAAGAATCCAGCATCGCCATTTTTTCATTCCGACGTGGCGAAGCTGCCGTCGTGGCTGTAGCGCCAGAACCAGGGCTCATGGTGAAAGGATGATGTGAAAGCAAAAATTGGAGTCACCGACTGCGAACTTTGCTGGACTCCCCCTCTTTGACTCGCCTTGTGCAGATGTCAGCTATTTGGGATCTTGCATGCGGTGGTTAGACATAAGGGGTTTCGCGCAAGGGCATGTGTTCCGGGACTTCCGAGGGCCTTGGCAACGAGTCAAATGCACTGCGCAGCAAGTGTGAAAGTACAGCTCGTCTATGCACCTGCAACGCAAACCTTGAGCATCATATGACCAAGCTCGACAGTTGCTTGTAGAAGCTGACGCATTGGGCCTAATTACTAGGCAGGGCTGCGTTGTTCTTCACACTTACCGCGCGCAGCTTCTGCAATCATGCACGGTCTGCATCAGCAGAAAGGTGCATGCGCATTGAGCTACCTGAGAAACGGAGCATGCTGCAACCAACGGTTCTAGTTTCGTGTATAGCCATGTCCTGAGTAGACAGCAAGGACGTGCATTGGAAGTCAAGCACTCAAGCTGCGTTCCGCAAGCATGGCATGTAGGCAGCCCTCGTTGCACAGCTCGTCACGTTTTGTTGAAGACGACCTGCGCAATGATTCTTCAGATGGCATGGATGCATGCGGTCTTGCCCAGCCATAGACTTAGGAAGCTGACCAGACCCCGAACGTATACTGTCTTCCGAATGTCCACGCCTGTCGCGGGACCCAGGGTGGAAGCTTCTTGGACTCGAAGACCTCACCGCCTGATGAAATGCGGCGGTCCCATTAGATGCTGTCAGACAAACCTCATGCCGAACTCCATGAAGATGCGACGACTTTTTTGAAGGGCGTTGGCTGCTAAGACAAATGAGAGCATGAACTGCATCGACAATGACTGCAGGTAGAGGGGCTGGGTCTAGTAATTTGCTTTGGTTGATCCGGGGCTGCTTAGGAAAATGGATGGACCACTCGGCTGCACTATTTTGCACAGAGACACCGTGCTGCCGAAAGCAAGATCAACGTCTTGCCTGCTTGATCATACCGAGGTGTGCAGAAACTACTGCAGTTAGCACGGAAAATGAAACAAAGCACAAGCCTGCTGTCGTCGGCCCTTCATATTATTCCAGGTACACTGACCACACAAAAACTTCAACCCCTAACCATAAGCCCCGACCCTGAAGCCTGCTTAACACGTTCGATGCCGAACTCCTTCAACCTGTCCGAACTTCTGAGATCTTCTGAGTCGATAGGTACACCCGTGGAGACGCCAGGTGAACCAACCGGAAGCCATTTCTTTTTGCACCTCCTTGAGTATCCCTCTCAGGGATTAGGGTTCTAAGGCTTCTGTAGAAAGAAATGCAGAGCCGACCTCCTGCTTCCTGCCACTTCCTCAGCACGAGGTTGCAGTAGGACTCCTCCGGCCAGTAGCCCGAATACCTTGGCCCGGCTTCCAGCTTCGGGGGCCCATGTCGAGGTCAATGTGGGTGCTTACCCTGAGTGACGGTCGCCCTGTTACCGGATCCAACTTTGTGCTTGATGTGGCACTGCCAATTGTGAGAGTCATCGGCAGTTGGGTGGTGAGTCGACTGCTGCCAGCATCAATGTTACCTTTTGTATTTTCTGGCAGCAGGGCATCCTGCATCCTTGCTACATTGGAACCTCAATAGTCAGAAAAGAGTTTAGGGGCAGAGTTCTGGGCTTTGGGAAGCGGGTTTCGGGATTCACCGAAGCTGCTAGAAAGCAACAGCTCAGTTTAAATTTATAATCCGCGGTGGGCGTTGCTGCTGATGAGAGTGATCGAACACCCAAACGCTCCTATTCCTCAAAAGAACCCGTATGGAGCAACTGAGGAATGCGCTCTCTACCGTTTGGACACGGATAGGCCCGCTGCAGCCCGCCAGAGCGCATCTCCTCGAGAAACTTGGCTCATTGGATTGACCAGCTCTTAGGTTGGAGTTCCCGTCGAAACTCGGTGGTGCAACGAGTTCTGATCTATGAGGCCATTGTGGAGTTGCTGCTCTTGGGCTCTCCGTTGAACCCAAAGGTGCAAAATAAAGAAGCGTCAACTAACAAACATGAGACATTCTGAGGCAATCCGGAAGATGTTCTGAACACTACTTAACGATCCCTGCCTGCTCGAAAGATTCGGAGTCAAGCCCTTGCGATTCTTCAACGGCATTTTGCATCCTCTTATATGGCCTCGCAACTCTGCCAGCTTTGATCACCCCATCCCCTCCTCTTCGTGTGCCTCGACGCAAAGCTCCCAGGCCTCGATTAGCGTTTGTGCTAAGGAAGAGTCGTACTTAGTCGTACTTTGCAATGTTGCTGGTGGTGATGGTAACAGCAGTGGTGGTACTGGTTCTGGTGGTGGCAGCCGCGGTGGCCGCCCTAGTCGTAGTAGTACTAGCAGCAGTGGTAGTAGTAGGAGCAATAGTAGTAGCAGTAGTAGTAGTAGTAGTAATAATAGAAGTAGTAGTAGTGGTAGTAGTAGTAGTAGTAGCAGCAGCAGGAGTAGCAGTAGTAGTAGTAGAAGAAGTAGAAGTAGAAGTAGAAGCAGAAGTAGTAGTTGCAGCAGCAGCAGCAGCAGCAGTAGTAGTAGTAGTAGTAGTAGTAGTAATAGTGCTAGCATTGGCAAAAATGGCAGTAATAGCAGTAGCAATAAGAATGGTAATGGTAGTAGTGGTGCTGGCAGAAGTGGTAGGGTGGTAGTAGTGGTGCTGCTGCAGTCGTAGTAGTAGCAGCAGCAGCAGCAGCAGCAGCAGCAGTAGTAGTAGTAGCAGTAGCAGTAGCAGTACGTGTCTGATAAGCAAAGCTTGAAGCTTGCAAAACCTGTTCCCGGCAAAGATCTGAGCTTTCCGGCGGCCTCGTCGAAGAGCTGAAGAGCTTCATGAGGACCTATCCACATACTGTGGCAACAGGTTGGAAGAGAAACGACAAGGAGCCACCAGGAGGTGGATCAGTGACAGTCGCAAGAGCACAAACACCAGCATTGGAAGGAGTTGTGGTGGGAGCAGTCGTCGAACTACGATAATTGCTCCTGGTAAAGCAGCAATAATAACAACTACTACAACTCCTGCTACCGTTACGAAACTCACCACCAAGACTACCACGACCACTACCATCAACCCTACCACTGCAACCAGGACGCCGACGACTGCTTCTACTTCTAGTCATACTAGCACTAGTACTTAGTCCGGCTGCTGCTGTTTCGACGACTATAACAAGAACTGTTACTGTTGCTAGAAAAAGCTGTCGTAATTCTTCGTTGTTCTGGTGGTAGAGTTTTTCCGCATCGGCGGTGTTGCTGACGGGTAATGTTTGCTTCAAGCTGGAGTGTTCACTTTCCTTGCACCTAACATACCGGCACGACAATGAGAAACCATAAACAGTAACGAACCGCCCAGCTTAGTAGATTTGCACCTCCAGTTGTTATCACACCCATACTAACATCCGCTTTAGGGTTGACCAGCTCCCTACAGGATGGAATGCTTTCTGGTCGGAAAGCCCCTGCAATGAAAAGCCATGCTGGTCTGTGGACTACACTGAACCGCGGACCCCAAATCCACAAGCTCGGGTGCTCGGAGCTGCTGAGGCTGAGGCTGTCGCAGGCAGCCTTGGAAGCAGCAGGAATAATATGGGCCTGAATACTTTGGCATAGGTTTGGGGTACATTATGGTGTTTTTAGCATGTAAAACCAATTGTATTAACACGCACACGCCACCAAACGCTCTGAATGTCAAAAACACCCGCTTACCCACGTTCAAGCAACCAGCATTCTGATAGCAACAAAGGTGCATGTACATTTCTATAGACTCTCCCGCAGCCAGCCATGGCCCCTAAAACCCTAAACCCTCCTCGGTTCACTGAGGAAACTCTATGTAGAGACTGTAAGGGAATGCGCTTATCCAAGCCCTTATTCTGTCCTCCTCGATTCGTCTTGGAGTTGTTGTTTGCGAGTGCTTGGCTCGTGACCAATCGTCTCGCTCGCTTCGCCATCTCCTCATCGGAGAGCTGGCAACCTTCCAGCCGCATCAAAAGATAGATTTGGCCTAAACGGGTTTATAGGGTTCCTGTACAGGTTCTTATAACAGTCAATGAGGTGGTTAATTATGCTAAGTGCCTCGTATTTGGCTACACAACTAGAAATAGCGCTTGGGCTGTATTGTAGTACAGTTATACCGAGACCGTCAAGCGGACACAAAAAAATAAGTTGGACCTCTACGTCAATCTCGATGACATAGCTCTTCTTTAAACATCCCGCTCCTAAGGACACGCCTAGGGCCCGCTGTGCGTGGGACTTTAGTGAGTTGTAGGGCAAGGCCAGGCAAAGTCTCATCTGGAAGCATATCTGGACTCTTTCATAGCATGTGTCTACGATTTTAATAAAACCTGTTTGACAACAATCGCAACAAATGCTTAGCTCGAGTAATAAGTTGAATGCTCTAAAGCTGTGGGAGTTGAGATTCGCCGCTCGCATTGAAGTTTCGAGTACGATCCTAAAGGACATTCTGCTCGTCACCGGCTTTGCGCTCTCCAATCCCAGTCACCTGTGGCAGTTGTGGCTGCTTCTTGCTCATCCATGATGGAGTCGACGTTGCCCTTCGCACGGCTAACATGCTGAACTTGTCTCATGGTTGCGGGTTTGGAAGCTGTGGCAATCGCAGGTGCAAGCGGCCCAGATATTGGTATAAAGAAGCTATCGCAAGGAAGGGGTTTGCGGACACCGTGCAACACAAAGTTAGAGGCTCAAAGTGTGCCCATCAGTAAGTGCGGCGCCACACCCAAGGAAACAGACCACTACATACCAAACTTGCTTGCTAGAACAAGCAAGCTCCGATCTCGAGAAGTCGTACTTGCTCCTGTTCTTGAAGCGAAGAGCACTCCCGACTCCCAGGCAACATCAAGCAACCCAGTGATAATTACTCTCGGTTTCATTTCGGTCATGTCGTCCTTATCACAGCAATCCTCGCCATCTGTGTCAACAGCACAACCTTCCTTGTCTTGTGCCAACTTCGTGCCGCTCGACAAAAGACTTGTCATTGCCGTCGTAAGTAGTGTCGTTACCATTGCCGCTATGATCTGGAGCAGGATCTAGCTAAGGTGAGCACCTCCTGACCAGCCGGCCAATTGACGCTGCCCGGACCTCCGGCAAGCAGACACAGTTTCCCGGAGGATGCAGAGCACTAGGTCTGCCATGTTGGCACAGCGCCCGATGACGAAAGCTGACAAATGGTGTGCACATTTTGGGGGAGGCATGTGTGACTAAAGAGCATCTGAATCCCTGAAGCCCCAAAGAGCTTCTTCCGATTTGCTACTTGGTTGACGATGTCGGAGGCTCGAAGAGGAAGACCTAGGAAGGTTCGCGGCGGAGTTCCGTGATGAGGGGATGTACGGCCAAAATCATTTAGGGACTTTAGGGCTTAGGGTTATTAGTGCAAGGACTAGAAGTGGGATAGAACTTTCATTGTTCCGACTGCTTTGGGTTGTGGTGTTCTCAAGGGGACCTAGAATGTTTCTACTCTTGATTCAGGCACCTACATTACTTGCACGTTGGTGCCTCGTACTTTGCACTCATAACATCGACTTCCATGCCATCGCACCGCGCGTGAGCACAATTAGAAGCTCCTGCAACTTCAAACGATGTCTCCCGAAGCTACGTGTATGAACCAACATCATGCAGAATGGAAGCGGGCTTCTGCGTACTCTCACTGTGGACTGCAGTCTGCAGGAACCACCTTTTCCTCTTGGCTGTGCGAGGCGGAGAAGACATTCTTTGAATTAGGCATCGTGCGGCGTGTTCCAGCTCGTTGGCAGCGACAAACTTTGCATTCGGCGCAAGTGAGTCATTGCACGAGCCAGGGCTCTGAGCAGTTGCTGGTTTAACTGCTCCATCTCGGCATTGGTGTGGGCCATCTCTGCAGAAGGGGCTGGTGCCAGTCTGCCACAAGGGCCGTCGAGTCTCTGAGCCACATCGTGCTCCATGCTGAGCCCGCGGGCTGGAACCGGCCGGGTGTTGAACGAACCCTGCCACAAGCTCGAAGCGTGTGCGCTAGCAATGTCACCACCGAAGTCCGGTGTGTCATCCTTCATGGCAGAAAACCACAGCTTTTCAGGGGTGCACAAAGCACTCATTTGTGTCAGATCGTCTTGGCTGAGAGAAACCCCTTCAGCAAGTTCGCGCCTTGGAGCGCTGTGTTGAGACAGAGGGCTCATGGAATTCCACAAGCCGTTGTCGCGCGACGGCTCGTCCTTGCATTTCTCCACTTTGCCATTCGTTTGAAAAGGCGTCTCAGGAAGATGGAGCACTCCAGCAATCGGCTCAACTCGAGGCCTTGAAGCGTCAGAGTCGGCTGCAGCAACGTTGTCCGTCTGCACGGCAATCTCGCAAGACCGAGCAGCGAAGGACTTTGGTCCTTGAGGAATTTTGGGGCTTTGACAGTTCACTTCGTCTTGCGCCTCCCTGGCAGCAGTCCGCGCACCGTGCTCAAACTGGACCGCTGCATCTTTCAAAGATGGCGACGCTCTTGAAGGTAGTGGCCCGGCACTGCCAGCGCTTTTCTTGCGGGGGGGCGACAGCTGAGGCGGCCCAGACTCCAGAGGCCCAGAGCCTTGGCCTAGAGCTTTTTGGGCTTTGGGCACCTCACGGGGCGCAGGCAAGGGGGCGAAGGGAGGATCCTGCGAGGAGACTCTGCAAGGGCTGTTCCCCATTGTGGGGCGATGGGCAGGGGAGCCCAGGTTGGGGCTCGAAGGCCTGGGTGCCTTCCGCGCAACGCGGTGTCGTCCACTTGGGCCTGCGAGCTGCAGCTTCGGTGGGTTGCTGGCTGCGCGAGCTCTCTGCATACGTGCGCAGGGGGCCAAGCCCGGGTCGCCTCGGTACCTTGCCAGCTCACCTTAGAAGCAAACAGGATCCCGATGGCACCATGCAATCGCTGTTTGGAGTACCATGTGTGCATATGGTAACACTGTTGTTACACATACATTCATATATGGACATGTGTGAATACAGACCTTACGCGTAGAATCACATGTGCACAGGCAGACGCACAAATAGATTGACAGATCGATAGGTGAATCGACAGATAAACAGACAGGTAGATTGATAGCACGGTAGATACACGTAACATTGAAACATCCCGGCCTGGTGCAAAGCACAAGCTCGAGGAAGTGGCAGCATCAGTCACGAAGCTCGACCGTGCAGCAAGGCTGCAAAAAGAGGACTGCGGCAAAGGCGCAGGCGCCTGTGCAAAACTCCGTTGACTAACACGGCTTGAATCCCACTCTGGTACCGGATTGAACATGGAGCTTCTTTCAAACAGAGGAGGCATGCTCATGTGTGAAAGGTCCATGCTTGAGATATCCAAGGCAGTGGCGGACTTGTCTGGCATCGGAGGATCTGCTTCTGAAGGTTTCATGCCCAGGCCCAGGCTAGAAGAGCCACAGGCTGTTGACAAGTCGCTGCCAAAGCCAGAAGGCACTTTGTAGCTGGTGCTTGGTGCAATAGCTTGCGCATGGGGCACAAACGCTTCCAGCCCCTTGGTTCGGAGTTTGAAGGGTAAAGCCCGCACAGGCTCCGACGGGGCTACCTGCCATGGATATCTCGGTGTAGTCGTTCTAGCCGGCAACGACGAAAGCTCGCGTGCTGGGCTGGATTGGACATTGCGTAGGCCGTCTGGTGGATCCGGCTTCTCCTCGCGACTCTGCCGCAAGGCCAGCGGTTCCACGAAGCTGCCAACAGAACTTTGCAAGTCGTGCGTCTGGAGCTCAACTGGAACAGCACCATACTTCTGCTCGAAGCTCCGGATATACTCGTCCAGTCGCCCCACCGGGCTTGTCTCCGAGTCGTGCATGGCGCTACATGCCACCGAAGCAGACAGTGTGCAAGCTACTTGTTCCTGGACTCCCCTGACACCTCAACTGGCAGGACTTGCCGCATCGACCGATCCTTGTGTTTCAAATCTGCGACTAACGTTGAAGATTTCCTACAATAGGACGATGCACGGTACAGTTGCATGAAATCCGTGGCAAGCCACGACTAATGTACATGTACCAGCGGTTCAATAGCCGCCTAGATCTGTCATGGCAGCACGATAAGGGTTGAGCTGCATTGGCTGCAGCTAAACACCTTCTGCAACTCTACATGTGCCCGTGGATCCGGTTTCAACAACATACAGACGACATCCCGATAACAGCGACCCCAAAAGAAACTCGAAATACGGTTGATGATATAAATCCTGCATTACCCATAACAAGGAATATGCCATAACTCTCATAGTTTAGGGTCCTCAGGTAAGGCAGGATTTATATCATCCACAGCAGTACCCTCTAGTTTCAAGAAGCGCCAGACCAAAAAACTACGAACACTTGCAAGCCCCGACACTGCCCAGCCGAAACCCTAAACTTTCCTCAAACCCTCTCTGAAGGCGCGGCTTAGCTTCCAGAGGGCAGTGGGCGGATGTACCTGGGTCAAATCACAGCTCACAGTTTCTTTGTTGGAGCTTTTTTTGGGAAAACTGGGGCATTTCCAGAATTAGAAAGTATAGTTTTACTGAGGAACTCTTTTAAAAGTAGTAGTGCTGATCATTCAGGCTTCTAGATTGGACCATGTCAGTTTCATGTGTGTTAAGTCGCTTGCATCCTTTGAGGACAGTCTGTCAAGAAGGGGGCGCCGCAAGGCTCGTGGGTTGGTGCCGTATCATGTGGAGCCAGCGAGCAAGAAAGCCCGAAAGAAACGCACGCCAAGAGATTGAATTCCGAAACCCTGAAGCCAAAGCTGAAGGCTGATAAGGCAAGATTTCGAAGCACAGCATTCCATGTCCCGGGAACGAAGATTAGGAAGCGCGATCGCCAGGAAGGGTCTTCGTAATCGAAAGCCCGAAGGCGCAGCTCCTGACACCGACCGCTGCGCCCTCACCCCTGCCATGTCCACCCCGGGGTGCAACGAAAGTGATGAGCTGGGTCGGTTGCTTTCTTCACATCCAGCCACGAGCACGGAGTGTCTTGTTGTCGAAAGCGGTTGAAGCCGAGCAGGCAAGGCCATACCCAAACTTGCAGGTGAATCTATAAGAAGCTTCTGCGGGGCACTTATCCTGAGCAATGGATTTGCCTACATTTCGAAGATCCTGCTCTCCAAAAACTCGAGAAGTGACACTGAATCGTATTTAATTTAGGCTGAACAAACCACGGTCCAATTCCGACTGAGGAGACGACGCCGACTAATGTGAGGACCTCAGCGTCAGTGGACTTGAAATCACTTTAGACCGAAGAACCATCACTACGAAACCCTAATCCTCAACCATACCTGGAGTAACCAAGGTATTAACAACAAGATACACCCATTTTTGAAGGTCGCTGCTCTACGTAAACCTTCCAGGCAGAACCGACCTTAAACGTGTCTTTCCATTTTGCATTCGCTGGCCGATTGGCCAGAAGGCGGCTAGGCTTTGGGTCTTAAGTCTAGCTTTGGAGGTGCGGCTTGTAGTACCACATGTTCACCTTGTCAACTTTGCTGACAAATTTCTTGTGTCGCTATGTACCTTGCCGTGGAGAGACAGAGAGGCATGGACAGATTTTGTCATGCTTTCAGCTTTCAGTAGCGGGTTCGTCACGATGTGCTCTGATATGCATGAAATGCAAGAGCTGCTGCTGTTCGTGCAAAGATGACGACATGCTCACAAGGAAGGGGTGTGTCATGCAATAAGAGCCACTTGGGGGAAACGTTAGGGTTCCTTTTGTTGGGGTCCTTTTTAAAAGGATCCTACTATTTAGGGTACTAGATTAGGGTCCCCTTATTTTCCGAAACTCCCACTTAGGTCCAGGCATCAGCAACCAGCTTTGTCTTGATCCGCTTGTCCAGGGGAGAGCCGCTGGACAGGGACGGACCTTTGTTTGAGGGTTTAGGGCTTTAGGGTTTTGGGTTTAGGGCCACGGTTTCGGGGTTTAGGGGTTTAGGGTTTATAAGCACAGCTGTGAGATGTTGTTGCCATGGTTTCGGGAGGTGTGGTATTGCGATATGCGCGAGTAACATCAGAACAGACCCCTAAACCCTAAACCCCTAAACCCCCAAACCCCCCACCCCAAAGTCTTACCCCTGAGGTTCCTGAGCCTCCGCGCAGATGTTGACTTCCAAGAGCCATGGCTTGAGACTGCGGTCAACCTTAGTCGGAGGCTACACGTGCTATTAATAATAGTAAGAATAATAATGACAATAATAACAATAATAATGACAAAATAATAATATGTTATGGGACACGGAATCCCAAGGCAACTGGCTATATGGGTGCTTCACCTTATTGCGAGAAGCATCTTCTGCGCAACCCTCTCCTCCAACTCTGACTTCCTTCGTACTTTCTGCGGAGAATTTAGGCCACAGGCCTTGGCATGCCGCTCCCTATTGTGGAGTTGATGCTTTCAATCAACACCACTAGTCACTGTGCCGTTGCCGTTGCCGACATTATGTCTCTAGAACCATTGACAAAGGTTTCCTGCAGGAGCGATGCTAAGATCTCTTTGTATAGAATCTAGGCAGGGGCATCTCAAAGCTTATCCTTCTCAGAAATCACCCTACTGAAGGCCGGGCGAGAACATCGAAGCCGTAGATCTCGAAGCAGGAACCCCTGTGGGCACCTTGCAATCGGGTTACAGGCTTTTGAGATCTTTCATACGTTCAGGATTCGTGCTCAACGACCTGTGCCCAACGTTTCGACACGAGTGCTTCGCATCTTGGTGGCAAGTTCTTCTTGGTTGCGGCATATAAATTCGAAAATCTTGCTTAGTACCCTGGCTAGTTCTACCTAGGATGCTGGCAGACTTCTTGGTGCAAAGAGCGACTGGCTAACTGAGAAGCCTTCTGCATCTTGCAGACGCCTGACAAGACCGCCCTGGGCGATAACATTGCCATTGCTAGAGTCACTGTATTCACCGAAAAACTGTCTGATAGGTGACATGGTCGTATGCAGACAGCCCCGGTGCAAATCAACACCTCTTTTAACTTCGCAGTCGCACAGGCAGTAACTATGCTCCCGAGCTTGCAAGTTGCACAAAAAGTTCTTGCAATGAGGCTGTCCAAGGCTAATCAAGCACGTATTCAGAATCTCCTGCACTGAGCCGCTAAGCCCGCTTACATATAGGGACGAAAGATGCATGTTCGCCTTTCGTGAGCAACGGGGCAACGCAGGCCAGTTGGCAAGTCAAGGGCGGCAACGCACGAGACTGTGCATCCTGTGGATATTGAAGTCATGACATCGGAGCCACAAAAGTACTCCAACATAATTCAATCTAAGTTTTTAAGTTTGACCTTAAATCAGACAGCAAATCTCTAAGAGCACCTGCAGCAAGCACACAGGCTGGCTTGCCTCAACGCCTCCCGCAGATTGAATTGAAACAATGCTCTTCAAAACTGTATGCCTCCTCGCGCTGACCCGAGCTCTCTGACGCCCTGAAAGCCACAACACCTTCATAGTTAGAACAGGGTGTTCTTTCCGACCTCTATGTAACACAATCCAGTCATCTGAATGCGATCCACCTCCCGGTCCACGTGCAGACCATCCGCCGTCCTCGCAACCGGAGCGTTCCAGCTCGAAACTGAGTGGTTTTGGATGTTGGGCTTAGGTCTCTGCATCTACGGGAAGAAAGCCAAGGGATGGTGGCATCCATCAGCAGTTCTGAGCACCGGCAAGGTCTCGGCTTGCCGAGCTTTTTACTCTTTGCATGTATGCAACACGTGTGCTGACCCTTGGACGGCATGCTTTGTGAGACAAGCGCGAAGATTGCTTGCACAGCGCTTTCCCATGTTGAAGAGATCATGTGCGTTTGACGACGCCTATTAATGCCCCCTGGCGTCACCAATACGCGTTGCTTATTGGCCCCAATCCGACAAACCACAACGGTCTCTGTTCTTGACGAAGTTTTGACGCAATTGACCCGCTTGAAAAGTGACTTTTCAGCTCCGAACCTTACAAAAGTAAAACTTGCTATAGTGACATGTGAAAGAGTAGCAAGAAGAACATGGATGAACAAAAACAAACCAGTAGAGTGCATTGATGACACTTTCAGTGGTAGCTATAGCCAAACCAGTACTGGTGCCGAACCCCGACTTCATCCATTCTGCCAATGCCATCCCAGCCTCGCAGCCCGTCGTCTTGACCCACTCAGCCTGCTGCCGGAAATGGCGGTTAAGGTTTGACGCATAGCAGTTTTCTGACACTTGCTGGCGCCAAGTGAGGCTCTTGCAATGATAGGGGCAGATGTTGATTTGTTCTGGAGGTGTCACTATCAACCGACCTCTGTCTCACACAGACACACTCCAGGATATGTTCTTCGCTGTGCAGCATCGCACGACGCAGGACCGGTAAAAGCGCAAGCATTGTCGACCAAGACATGTTTTATCTGAAACCTTCAACTCCCAATTCTTCAAGCAGAGGCACGCGGTGTGGGGGTCGGGCTTGGGAGATCTTCACATGCTGAATCCAAGTCGAGGGCATGTCTTTGTGTGTGAAAGGGTATCAAGAAGATCAGGACTCATTCCCACAGAATCTACACCCCTAAGTGCAAAGTCGCCTTCAAAGGCTCCTCCACAGAGATCAGGGTCTTTATGACCAGGTCCTGTCCACTTCCCGGACACACAGGTGCGGAGCTGCATGCATGTATGTATGTATGTACGTAGGTACGTGTAAGCACATACATACACACATACATGCATCACGTTACCTAAAATTACATTACGCTGCAATAAACTGTAGCTGGATTGCATTAAATGGCATCGCAGTACATCGCAGGGCGCATAGCTACATAGCTACATAGCTCCATCAAGGTGCATACGACATGTAGTATCGACAAAGTGTAGGAGTACATACATATGAAAAGACGTGTGTGTGTGTGTGTGCGCGCTCACATGCTCATATGCTTCTAGCCGGGCACCTGCACAAAACATCTGATGGATGACTGGATGAGTGGGTCACGTATATCTTGCATGAATGCGGGCAATAATGCAACAGTAACAAAAAGCTCATTCATGGTCAGCTTTCCAGCCGGCAGGCCCAAGGCTCTCAAGTGCTGCGTAGAGGCCGCGGGTACTGCAGGGGGTCATTGTAAAGTGTCCGCTTGAAAAGAATGTCTGACAAGAGCCTCAAGCTAGAGGTCAAAGCAAGCAGCTGCTGACGTACGACGAGAAACCCTGCAGAACCTGGCGGTACTGCTGAGGCCTTGCCTTAGCAATAGCCCTGCGGATGCTTCGAGCTCAAGTTGTCTGGAGCCCAACTCAACAGTCTTGGCTGCCCGTGAAGCCTTAACAGCGGTCCTACCGAGTCACTGAATCGTGCCGAAATCCAAAGTCCGAGAATCGTAGTCCGGAGGATGCACATAACCCGAAGACCCCAAACCTTCGCCCTCCGAGCTTCAGCACACAAGAGCTTTCCGGGGCCTTCATGGACGCCCACATGGCCTCCGCAGGATTTTCTCTATACCCGGATTCTCAGACCGTCAACCTCCAACACCTTGCCTCCGAAAGCCTGCACTTACATGGCCCAAAGTTGGAGATGATTCGATGAGCATCACCTCTTAGTTCAGGGTCCCTTCATTCATTCAAGGGTACATTGCTTATTAAGCGTACATAAAGTCCGGTCCGTTGGGGTTCAGGTTTCCGTGTGATCGGCTGTTGGGGATGTTCTCCTTGGCTGTGGCTTTGAGGTTTCGTGCTTCCTCGTTCGATGGCCAGGTTCTCCTACCGCCCTGGCTCGGTTAAATGCAGCGGACCCTGTAGCGGTTTCAGCAAGTTGTCTATACATGGAGGTTTCCGAAGATAGGGGACCCTAATAATTGCCCTAATATAGCACCCTGAGTGGATCCTCATCATAAGGACCCCCCTAAAAGAAGGTATCCTTTATTTTCGGAAACTCCCACATATAGTACGGAAAGGAGAGCATGGTTTGCCCCTTTCGGCCGCAGGCCGTGGAAATCGTTGCGAACCTCTAAACCTATCTACGGATCAAGAGGTGCTAAGATTAGCCCCCAACAGCAGGCCTCATGCTAGCGCTGGTCTTTGATATTAAAGATCTCAGCACTTAAGGAGCTTCCGGTGCTCGGCTGGCGCCTCGAAGTCGAGACCCTCGCGGGCGAAATGTATCCTGAGAACAGGGCTCTTGTGTTTGACTTTCCAGCCGGCAGCTGCTTGTGCTCTTGGGCCATCGGTCATGTTAGCAGCCCATGCGCACTGAGGCTTTGCTCGTGGTCTTTGCCTCTATGCATCTTTCGCCCTCAATCTAAACCTTCGAAATCTTAAATCTTGTGCACATCACTCCGGCCACCGTCTTTAGGCGAAACCACTCAATCACTCGCAAGCGCAGTCCTTGCATGAACTGAAAAGACTCGTGTCCCCTGTCAAATGACCTCATGAACCCTTTCAACACCCTCTGGCTTTGCGGCCTTCAGTCCCCTTGCAACAACGCCCGGGGCCCAGGCTGCAGTTCTTTGAGCGACCTGACTTTATTTTGTTAATCATCGTTTGCTCAGGGATTCGGGGCGAAATTAACGCCTTTTGCTATTGACGAGGCATCTTTGCCGCCCCTCTTGCATGGCGCTATTCGTTTTCGTTGGCTTCTGCTTGGTCAGGTTTCATGTCAAGCAGAAGCAGTTCTTGCTTGTGGAGACTCACCGTGTTCATGGCATGTCTGTCCAGAGCAAGATCGTCGTTGTAAAGCATGATGTTACCAGCTTCCTGACCAGTCGCAAGAAACGGTTTCTGGGTACAGGAGGAGAATTAAACGACTCATCGTCTTTGTTCAAGTTGCGTGTCGCGCACCTACCCAAGAATGTCTGTGACAAGACCAAAATTTCTTGCCGATATCTACGACCGGCTTGGCCAAATCTGAATGTGGCCAGCCTGGTGCGTCATTCCAGCTTCTACACGTGTCTTGGACATGCATCGCGTAGGGGGAGACCGGCCGAGCACGTGCTGCACTTCGGAAACAGCTGTCAAGCGGCAAGACAGTGAACCTTTATCAACGAAACATGCTGGGCATATGGGGGAATATCAATCGTAGCTGAGCTCGGGTGCTGAAACCAACAACAGCCTTAAAGTCCTGCCGCCTTACATGTTGAGGCCGGTTCCATTTTGAAGCCTTCGGCTGGCCGCTGTCGTCGACTGCTGCATCCTCCTTGTCCTGGCATTTGGGACTTTAGGCCCTCGCACGTTTCAAGGCCCTCTGCAGAGGTTCATAGACTTCAGTTCAAGCAGCAGCAGCTGCAGCAGCAGAAGGAGGAGGACCAGGAGGGAGAAGTAGAAGCAGTAGTAGTAGTAGTAGTAGTAGTAGTCGTAGCAGTAGGAGTAGTAGTAG